TGTGGCATCCTGCTTCCCCCGCCCCGCAGGACTTCAACGCCGACATCTTCGACATTTAGGCAGGCGGCACATGTCCAGAAGGCCGCGGGTGCTGGTGCCTCGTGAGGCCAGACCCAGGCATCCGCCACCGGGCCAATTTCGCTCAGCCTCAGCTCCTCCCCCCCTGCTCTCACCTGCCCAGTTCGCCCAGGTAGCCAAGGCAGTGCAGCGCTCCCTGTCTAGCACTCCCTCAGCCTCAGGTCCCCCACGCCCACCTGGCGATTTCAACGGCCCCCCCGTGGGACGCGGCAGGCACATCTATGGAGCCACCTTTCATCCTCCGCCACCTCCGCGCGCCATGCCCCCCTTGCCTCCCCCTGATCATCCCACAGTGAAAGCCAAAGCCGCCATTCCGGAAGGCTGGATCGGCCAGGCCGCCTCTCCTTTTTCTCCACCCCATGCTGCGCGCCCCCCACCTCCACCTCCGCGCGAATCCCGCAAAGTTGCAGCCCCCCACAGGCGTCAGCCGCGCAGGGCCTCCAGTTCGCCTGCGTTTCCTAGGAGGCTTGCGCAGGTAGACGATGCCTCATATTCCTCTGTCTCCTCCCCTTTTCCCCCGCAGGATTCTCCGGAGCCAGCTGAACAGCCAGCAGTGCCCCGTGCCTCTGCCACTCGCAAGCGCAAGCAGGTTTCCTTTACAGACGAATTCACGGCCAAGGCCCCTAGGGTGGCATACAATTCGCGCCGAAGCACGGAGCCGCGCAAGAGTGCACTCAAGCAGCCGGCGCCACAGCGCCGCGGACCAGCCGAGGCTCAAAGCAGCCCGCAGGCATTCCGCGGCACGGCCTCGCCTCCAGCCTCTCCTCCTTCAAGGCACCATAAGGCTCGCAAGTCTCACCGTGCTGCCCATGCTGCTCCGCGCCCGCATTCGCCTGCCGAAGCGCCAGACGCGGCATCGGACGAGCAGCGCAGTACAGTCCTCAAGGCGCACGAGAATAGGATTGCCCAGCTCAAAGAGGAGCATAGGCAGGAACAGCTCCGCATCGACAGGATACACAGGGAGCGCCTCAAACTTCAGTTAAGAGAAGGCGAAAGCCTCTCGCATTGCGGACAGCGCCTCTCGCCCAGGCGGCCGCGCAAGCCTCATGAAGGAGGCGATGCCGCCAGGCGTTAAACCTACGCCATGCAGCTGTAATTCAGCCCAGGCCTACCTCTCCCCTCCTTACCTCTCTCAGCTTCATTTCCTTCGCTTCTCCCCCCACAGGCCATGATGCGCGAGCTCAGCACCTTGGGCAACGCCGACGAAGACGAGGACATGCCCGCTGCTGAAGCGGCCCCGGGGAGGCACCTAGATTTGCTCCGCATTATGGAGCGGCTGCCCCCAGATTTTCGCAGTGCATGGCCCTTTTGGGAGTGCCTGGCGGAGCGGCTTCTCCTGGCCCACCAGCAAGTCTACCGCTTTCTCAGCGGCGGTTCGAGGCGCCACGCTCTTTTACTGTCTCCTACCGCTGTGTACCAGCCTGCCTCGGTACCCCAATGGCAAGCTACATGGCAGCTCGAGAGCGGGCCGCCTGCTCTGCCACACGCCCGCGCTACCGTAGGCCCCGAGCTCCACATGGACTTGCCCGATGTCGCTAATCACACAGTCGAGCGGTGGTATGGGCGTTGGTGCGAGGCCAACTCTCCCAACTTACTCCACATTTATCCTCATCGCGCAGCGGGTGAAGGCCCCTATGCTGCCCGTTTCTCACCCGCTATAAGTTTGGTCACTGTCTACGTGCCCGACCAGATTTTTCTGGACCTCCTCCACACGGGGGCCTGGGAACAGCCTGCTCTCATCCCTCAGCGTCTTTTGGAGGATGCAGCGGCTGGCAGCCCCATCCTTATTGACTTCCAGGCCATGATCCTGGTGCGGCCATTTTGCCTTCCGTTGTCCTACCTCTCTCGAATCCTCCGCCTCCCTGAACCATAGCCCCACAGGCCATGCCGACCCCAGATGCGCAGCACCTGCCGCAGTTCGAGCACGGCGACGTCCGCTGCGCACCCACTGAGGCCGTGCCACCGCAGCCTACAGTCGTACAGTGGCTGGTAGTGATCACGGCAGGTCACATTCCGCTCTGGTCTCCATTGCCCATCAATGTAGGACTCCTAATGGAGCTATTCCACGGGCAGGAAACCAGGCTGCCATCTTCAGTGGAGAGACCACGCTTTTTTTCACCTCCCCATTCTTCAGGAGACCGATGCACGGTCCATTTTATTCGGCAAGGGAATACCTTTTCGCACCGGCCTTTCGCTGCGGGTCAACATGCGCAGCGGAACCATCCTCATCCCTATCGACTCAGCACCGGGCCAAGCATGCATCAGTCGGCCCATCAGGAGGGTCCCCAGGCGCACGCATAACCCAGTTAGGTTTCACTCATATATGGCCGTTGGCTTATGGGCTATTTCTTTTCGCTCCTTCCGCACTCCCCCTCCTCTCAGAGCGCGCAGCGCAGCCATGGTTCCTGCGGTCGGGCGCGCATCGGCGGCGGCTGAGGGGACCACGCCCCCGCAGGAGGCCGCGGCCGAGCCCTTCGGCCTATCAGGCGACACGTACTCGGGTTCGGCATGGCAGGGCTCCCAGTACATTGCCGCCAACAGGGAGTTCAAGAAGTGGTGGCCAGCTACGTACCCTGGCGAATGGAAGATGCCAAACGGCATGCTCTACCCGTTCGTGTGGAAGCTCAAGTCGCTCGACGTCATCAACGGCCAGGTCGTCGAAACTTGGGACTGGGAATGGATAGAGGCTCCAGGCCTGGCGACCATCTCAGAGGTCGAGCCCATGCTGCAGGAGGCCCGGGCGCGAGCGGCGGCGACGGCGGCCGCGCGGCAGCAGCGCGGTGCATGAGCGGGCCCTAGAGCGTGCTACCTCCCAGCCGGCGCCATCCCAGGTCGACAAAGGCGACCTCGGCGCAAATAATAGGTGGTGGGCTAGCCTTATACTCTAGTCTCTGTTCACCACGGCAGCCCACCACCTAGACAGCCCTAGCCAGCCACACGAGCCAAATGTTTACAGCTGGAGAGCCGTGCTGCTCCAATTTAAGATCGGCTGAGCCGACCTGCAATCCCGTCGCAGCGGGCCCATCAGTTCTTTCATTTAGCCCCATGCCAAAGGCCCGCTGCAAAGTCGTAGTCAGCACCAGTCTCCAGCTTCACACCTCTCTGCCGCACTAGTGCAGCCAACGCGACACTTTTAGCTAGCCCCGCTACCAGAAGAGCGGACAGCTAATGCTCACAGCTCAATTCGCAGACTCGCCACGGCTGAGTCTTCATAGGTGGTGGGCCAGCCTAATACCCTAGTCTCTGCTCATATCGGCAGCCCACCACCTAGATAGCCCTAGCCAGCCACACGTACCGTAATTCACCAGCTGAGGAGCTATGCTGCTCCAATCTAAGGTCGGCTGGGCCCTTCAGCTCTTTTCTTCAGCCCCATCCAGAGGGCGGGCCAGCCGCGGGAGCTGTAGCCGGCACCAGGCTCTAGTTTCACACATTCTTGCCGCAGCATTGCGGCCAGGCCTAAGCGACACTTTTGAGCAGCCACGCTACCTGAAGAGCGGTCGGAGCAATGCTCACAGCGCAATTCGCAGACTCGCCACGGCTGAGTCGACACTGCGGCAGGCAAAGCTGCCGCCGCAGCACATCCCACCCGCCGAGTAACTCTCGGCTAAGGCTGCCCATCAGAGGTGCGTACCTCTACGGACAGCTACCGCGCCCTAGTAGTGCTTGGCTTGGCAAGATAATCCCTCTCCCTCACATATGTTCTTCCCTCCCCTCTTTCCTCGTTTACACCGAGACGCCAAGCGCAGCACAGGCGCTTTCTCACCTGCCCCCTTTCCGGTCACGTGCGTAACCGATGGGGCTTCCTAGTCTCCTGGCTATTGCGGCAAGCAAAGATGCCGCCTCAGTACATCCCACCTGCCGAGCAATTCTCGGCTAATGCTGGCCGTCAGAGGGGCGTACCTCTACTGACAGCTACCGCGCCCTAGCGCTGCTTGGCTGGACAAGATAATCCCTATCCCTCCCTTATGTTCATCCCTCCCCTCTTACCACGTTTACTCCAAGACGCCCAGCACAGCACAGGCGCTCTCTCACCTGCCCCCTTTTCCGGTCATGTACGTTACCGATGGGGCTTCCTAGTCTCTTGGCGGCAACGCCAGCCTCCCCCTCCTGGTCCGCTCCGCCACGGCCGCCCTACAGCGCGGCAAGGCCATTTTGGCCCTCTTCCTACTCATCCCGCTCATTTCCATGGCTAAGCCATGCTCCCAGGTGGCCGTCCCTGAGGCTAGCTTTGCTGCTCTTCGGTCGTGCAGCGCTGCCCGCATAGGGCAACGCCTAGATGGCGCGCATAGTGTTTCTCGCACGGCACCGATCCCCTCTCTTCTTATTATTCCCCCTCCCTCCCCTTCGGTGCCAATACCTCCCCCGCCCATCATGCAGGTCCAATGGCGAAGAATCGCTTTTGCCTGCGGTCGGACCAGGAGCGGAGAACCTTTGCTGTGCCCGCTAGGCGGGCTCTGTCTGCCGCCTGGCCGACCTCGGCCACCCAGCTCAAGCTACTTGCAACGAGCCAAGTGCAGTCAAAAAGCCTCCTCCCCCAAGTTTTCCTTCGAGCGCCCCCCCTGCCTCGACCTGCCTTCACGCCCCCCCGTCTCGCCCTCCCGCCATCTCCCCCTTCCCACCAGGAGCTCTCGGGCGTGTCTGGAGGTCCCCATGGAGGTCCCCAGGGGCGCCCCAGGAGGCTTTCGCAGGCTCCCGGATGTCCAGCAAACCAAACGAACCCTTCCCCGCCCCCTTTTCCTCAGGAGGGGCAGAAACATACAGACGCAACGAATCGTCGTGGAAAGTGGAGGGGAAGAGGAACATCCAGAAACTATTGCAAATATTGGGGATCCTGGGACTTGTGTCTATTTGTTGTGTGTCCCTGGGCCCCTTCGCTTTTCCCCTCCCTCCCCTGTTTCGCTCCGCCCAGAGCGTCCCTCGAGGACCTCCTGCGGTCGTTGCGCGCCAGCAGAGGCTCCTTCCCGCGCGCCTCTCCCTCGGAGCCCACCCGATGATGAGGATAAGGATGAGAATGCTGATGATGGTAAGGGTGATTGTGATGGTGATGGTGATGCCATGATGGTGCTGATGATGAAGATGATGCAGGTGATGAAGGTGATGAAAGCAAGGGAGGTGAGGATGAGGATGAGGATGAGGATGATATCGATGATGATGGTGATAGTGATGATGATGATGATGCTGATGAAACTGAGGATGATGATGATGATAATGATGATGATGGTGGTGGTGATGATGATGAGGAGGAGGATGAGGATGAGGATGATGGTGATGTTGGTGATGTTGGTGTTGATGATGCTGATATTGATGTTGGTGTAGATGATGATGATGTTGCCGTTGGTGCTGATGATGGCGATGATGATGATGATGATGATGATGGTGATGGTGATGATGATGATGGTGATGGTGGTGGTGATGATGATGATGATGAGAAGGAGGAGGAGGAGAAGGAGGACTATGATGATGAGGAGGAGGAGGAGGAAGAGGAGGAAGAAGAAGGGCAACATAAGAAACAATGGCATAAATATCAGGACTCGGGGGTCCGCGCGGATGCCTCGGATCGACGCTGGGGCCTCCTGGTGGTGCCTCCTGCGCCACCCCTGGCGCGTTCCGCGCGCCCGGGAGGGGGTCAGGTCCGATCCGAGAAGTCCGTTCGGGCTTCCTAGTTGTCGTGGGGCCCCGAACGGGCGAACGGACCACGCGCCCCCTCGTGCGCAGAGCGTGCTTCCCCATGCCTTGTTCTCGTGCGTCTTGGTGCGGGCTGCGCGAAGGCTGATGTGGAGCAAGAGCATTGCGGGTGCCCTTGGGAGGCGTGACATTTTTTTTGAGAGACGCACGTCGTCGTCGTCGTCCTCCTCATCCTCCTCGTTTTCGTCGCCGTCGCCGCCGTCGTCGTCGTCGTCCTTGTCCTCATCGTCCTCGTCGTCGTCGTCGTCGCCGCCGCCGCCGTCATCGTCGTCGTCGTCGTCGTCGGCGTCGTCGTCGCCGCCCCCCACAGCCGAAGCTCGACCCGCGCCCGGCCTGCCCGAGTCGAGTCGAGCCCACCCTGGCGGGGGGGGGGGGGGCGCCCGTCGCGGGAGGGGGGCCGCCGCGCGGCCATGGCCGCCGCGGCCGCCGCCGGGGTGCGGCGGCGCGGCTGGGCGCTCGCGCGGCCCCCTGTCGGGTGGGGGAAACGAGCTGCGCTCGCGCCCTGCAGCTGCCGCGCCCACCGCCAACTTGCATCTGACTGGTTGGGCCGAAGCCCGCGTAAAAATTGCAAGAGTGACCTTGACGATCAAACTTGACGGGAATTGGAGTAGTTTTCAACTAGCAAACAGCGCACTTCTGCTCGTTTGGGGCACCACGGATCTCTTCGAATCCAGTTCGGCTCGGGCTCGGCTCCAGCTCGGCTCGAGTGCGGTTCCAGCTCGGCCTCGGTGCGACGCAGGTCGACGGACTCCTGGGCCACCCAGATGGGGTCGGAGGATCACGCCGCATCGCCAAGGCATCGACGATGCAGCTCGATGCGGAGCCCGACTTCCGCCACGCCGACATCACCGATGTATAGCCGATGTTGCCGATGCATCGTTGATGCCTCGGCGATGTATCGCCGATGTATCGGCGATGCGGTGCGATCTTCTGACCCCATCTACTCCGAACCCATCTAGGAGGCCTCTACGGACGTCCGGCGCAGCACCGACGCACGTGCGGAACGAGTGGCTCCAGGAAAGCGTCCAGAACGAGCAGCTAAGGGAAACGAAGAGCCTCGTCCACGGGCGCCCTCCAGAGGGGCACGAGGTCATGCCACGACCTGTTCCTAGAACTCCACGCCAGGATTTCTCAGCTCTCCCCATGCTCCACACGGGCTGCACAGACGGAGGCCGCAAGACACGCTGGAACTCTTGGAACACATCCTGGGCCAATTCCATCATGACATCATTATCGTCCTAGTCTTAAGTCGGGCATGTCCCTCTACAGGAGGAATGTTCAAAAACAGTCAAAGAATAATATGGGGACGACAGTTCGACTACTCTTTGACTATGTTTGCACATGTTTTGACCATTTTCTATTTTTCGTCCAAAACCCGCCTGTCGGAAGACATGCCCGACCTAGCCCTAGCCCTCCGAGACCCTCGGTGAAGCTCGGAGGCTCCTCCGGGCTCATCGGAGAACTCCGGGGGAGTCTGCGCGGGCCCTCTCGCTGGTCTTCGCGGGCCCTCGGGGGTCCGCGGAGGCTCCTCTGCGGGGGGGCGCGCAGAGGTCCCTCAGGGCCTGCGGAGGCTCGCAGAGGCCTGCGGAGGCGTCTGGAGGTCTGCGGAAGTGCTCGGGGTGGTTTGGGCTGTCTGCGGAGGCTTCTCGAGGGGAAGTGGGAAGTTGGAGGAGGGAAGGAGGAGGAGGAGGAGGAGGAGGAGGGGGAGGAGGAGGAGGAGAATTGGAGGAGGATTGGAGGAGGAGGAGGATTGGAGGATTGGAGGATTGGAGGATTGGGGGATTGGAGGATTGGAGGATTGGGAAATTGGAGGAGGAGGAGGATTGGACGAGGAGGAAGAGGAGGAAGAAGAGGTGGTGGAGGAGGAGGAAGAGGCTGTGATCCCGTTAGGCTGTGACAGCGAGGTCGGCCCTCGGGCTGCGAAAAAGGGGCCCGTCACGTGCGCACCTGCGCACCAGCCGCCTTCCCCGGAGGCCCGAGCCATCGTGCTTATGGCAGTGGAGGCCCATGCCGACTCCTCCACTGCCCCCCCCCCCCCCCCGAACGCGATGCGCTTGCTCACCGCCGTCAGGAGTCCCCCGGGGGGGAGGCGGCATGGCACCTCAGGACGTAGCCCGGAAGGGGGGAGGGGCGGGCAGGCCTAAGGGCAGCACCACCCGCGCCCTCACCCGTGGGCATCCGGGCGCCCGCCGCGCTCGAGCGGGCGTCGCGTACACCGGAGGCCCATGCCAAGAAGCACCCCGCTCGCCTCCAGGGTGCCCATGGGTGTCCTGGGTGTCGGCGGTTTTGCCATCGGAAGGCGCGACGTTCCCACGGCAAGCATCAAGGGAGGTCCTGGGGTCTCAGGGTGGGCTATGGTGTCCCAACCCACTTTAGCCTTGATCATCAGAGAGAAGTTCGAGCGCCAGAAAAAGTGCCGAAACTCGAAGGTTTTCACGTGTCGGGCCCTGGGAGACACTCGTCCGACATTGTTTCGACTCTTTTTCGACACTTTCTTGGGTGCTCGAGATTATTTCTGGGATGTGGTCCTTTAAGTACGATGGGGGGCAACATAAAAGGTGGGGTTTCCCGTGGAAGGTTCCTTGTGATCGGGCCTCCACGGTGTGCGGGTTCCCACGAGGGCGCGAAGTTATTCGCGCTGCGCGGGCCTCGTTCCTTCTCCCCCGCCTCCTCGCCCTCCTCCTCTCCCTTTGGGGGGGGGCGGCGCGAGAGCGCGAAGTTGTTCGCGCTTCGCGGAGCGCGACGCGCGAAGTTGGGAGCCCTTGAAACATCGAGGGAAGCCCTGGGGTCTCAGGGCGGGGTTTCCCGTGGGAGGTTCCTCGTGGTCGGGCCTCCACGGTGTGCGGTGCGCTCTGGAGGCCCCCGCCGCGCGCGCGCCGAGCGCACGTCCAGGCGGCCAGGCCCACCCGAGAGGCCCTTGGGCAGCCGGCTCCGCCACGGCCCAGCGCGTGCCTCGGCGCCCCACGTCCAGCGCTGCTCCTCCTCCTCCCCCTCCTCCTCCCCCTCCCCCTCCTCCTCCTCCTCCTCCTCCTCCTCCTCCTCCTCCTCCTCCTCCCCCTCCTCCTCCCCCTCCTCCTCCTCCTCCTCCTCCTCCTCCTCCTCCTCCTCCCAGCGCGGCCTTGCAGACCAGACACGCCTGCGCTTCGTAACGACCATGTTCTGGCCACCACTTTTCCGCAGGCACCCGCCCCGTGGCCCTCGCCAAAAAAGCCAAGCCCGAGAGCAGCGCCACAAGCTGCGCCCCCCCTGGCACTCAGCGGATGTCTCGGGCCAGCGGCGGCAGCAGCGGAGGGTCAGCGCACGGGAAGAGCTCGTCGTTCTTCGGCGCGCCGCGATGCTACGCGACGCATCACCACTCGATGCGAGGCGATGCGAGGCGAGGGCCTGCCCCACTCTGCGGCGCCTCTGTCAGGCGGAGGAGGAGGAGGAGGAGGAGGAGGGGGAGGAGGAGGAGGAGGAGGAGGAGGAGGGAGGAGGAGGAGGAGGAGGAGGTGGTCACGTACCTGCGCCGCTGCTCCATCCCTCGCCGGCGGACGGCGGACGGCGGAGCGCCAGCGCCCCTCCGCGGGCGGCGTCGGCTCCTCCGTCCGCGATCCTGCCTACGGGCTCTGCAAACGACTGGGCGCACGCCCGAGCCGAGCCAGGCGAGGCGAGGATCAAGGCGGGCACGTCCCTGCTCAGGGGGAACAGTTGTTCGAGAGTGATAAAAAAATACCCTGGTGGGACGACGTTTCGATGATTGTGTGACTACTGTTGACACTTGTAATTTTTCTTCTGAAACGCGCCTGGAGGAGGAGTCGGAGGAGGAGGAGGAGGATAATATGCCTGCGCTCTCGCCTCAAAGATCCTCCAGACCTCTCTGGAGTGAGAGTTGGCCTGAGTTTCGAGGCTGGCCCAGCCGTGACCGTGAAGGCGCTTCGCGCTGAGTTGACGTCGGCGACCCCAGCGCGCGGAACGACGTGCGCTATCGGAAGGTCGCGATCCTTTGGGGTTGAACATTCCACGCGGCGTCAGAACCCAGGACCGACGTCATCGCGACGCGACCCCGCCTTGGCCCAATTTGCTGCGAAAGCCTCCCCGAAGGCCGCACCCCCTGCGCACGCCCCGCGCCAGGCGGCGGTTCCGTGCGGTCCCGAACGACCGCACGAGGCCTCGGAACCAGGACCACTTCGGCCCACCTAGGACGATGCACGTGGTGCCGACGTCGTCGCGACGGGAACCTGCCGTATCCCCGTGGTTCGTGGCGTGCTCTGGAGCTTTCCACATCGGCACGCCAGCCTTTGCGAACCAGGCAGATACAACCCCTCATACAGTGAACGACGACACCACCGATGGTTGCAGCCCGCCTTGTTCCGGGCAAAAGGTCGATATTCCCCCCACCAGCGACTGTGATGGGTTGCGCAACATTGGGGCCAGAAGGACAGATTGTGGTACAAGGTCGATCCATGCGGAGAGGGGCGATGGCCGCAGAATTTGGTGGACTGGAGCCCTGAATGTGTCCCACGGACGGGGCGCCCGCACAAGCGCAGGCAAGATCAGCTGCTCCGCGAGGCGAGCGAACCCGAAGCCTTCCTGTGGGCACGGGGCGCGGGCATCCAGCCCGCAGCGCCTCCTGCATCCTGCGCCCTGCATCTCCGGTGCGGCTGTCACGCCCGCATCGGGGGAGCCCACACGGCGTGGTGACCACACCGTGCGGTGAGCCCGTGGGGTTCTGGGCTCACCGCACGGTTGTGGGATTCGGGCCGTTCTTTGAGGATGTCTCGGGCGACTGGGGCCTCTGGGAGCCCAGGACCGTGCGGTGACGGACCGTGCAGTGAGCCCTCTTGGGATTCCGAGGTCACCGCGCGGTCTGTCACCACGCGGTTTTGGGACACTCAACGGCAGCCCAGATTTTATTTCCATCTCTTCCCCTTTCATTTCGTTTTGTCTTTTCAGCAGCATGTTCTCGTTGCCGCCGCCCCGAGGCTCGCCGGCCGCGCGGCGCTGGGACGGGAGGCGCCCCTTCCGGCCACTGCGACGGCCACGTCGCAGCACAGGCCGTCAGCGTCTCTCGATGGCCCCCCGTGCGACGACGAGGACCCGGGCTCCCATTTTCGGACTCACTGTTGGCAAGCTTCAATCGATCAAATCTATAGCGTCAGAATATTATGTTCAAGAACGGAATGGCATTCCAACCGGCTTCGGCGTTGTGGCCAAAAAAACATAGATTGCAAGCAGGTGCGGAAAGAAAGATGTGCAAAGAGAAATGGAAAACAAAAGTCCGAGTTTCTGAATAAGCGTCGAGGGGACGTCACCCCGACAGCCCCACATCGACCCCCGTCGCGGGCAGCCACCGCGCGCCTAAGGCGCTCCGATCCCCGTCGCGGCACGACGACGAGGCGAAGTTGACCCCCGTCGGGGGGGTACCCCCCACGCTTATTAAGAAACCCAGAGTAGGTGCCCGCAAGGGCGTAGAGTTTCTAAGCGAGCAGTCTGTGCACCCAGCCTCCCACTCCTTAGAATCCTCACGAGGTCTGCGGCCCAAGATCTCCCACGATCTGATTGTTTCAATTCTGGCGTTTTTCCTCGATGTTGGCTTCTGCAGCCTCAAAAACGGAACTGGGACGAAAAACTACCCCAGAGAAGAGGTCGACAACGTCCTCAGACATGCTCGCGCCGTGAACGAAAAAAACGAAGGATGTTTTTTGTTGCCGGTTTCGACCTCCAGGAACCCTCGCCGGGCCCCTGGACCGTCCATAAACGATTCGGGATGAAAAATGGAGCGTCTGGGGACCTTTCTTGTAATTTTCCCAGCGGGGCACCCTCATCGCAGCCATGTCGTAGGTCGGCCATATGGGGACAGGGCCGCGCTAGTAGGGGGCCACATGCGAACCCTACCCCTACCCCTCACGATTTCTGAGGGGGAGGGTGGGGTTCACTTCGTTCGTGGGGGGTAGGGGTAGGGTTCGCATGTGGCCCCCTACTAGCGCGGCCCTGTGCAGCGTCGTGTGTTGAATCAGGGATCGTGGCCATCCGGACCACAAATGTGGCCAGCATCGAGGCGAGAGCAGGATTCCCGGACCTCCTCGCGCTGCAACAGAAATCACGACGGGATGTGTGTTCGCTATATAATTCGGCCTCGGGGGGCCCTCGCCGGGCCTCGGGACCGTCCGAAAACGACTCAGGACGAGAAACCAGTCCTTTCAAGGGGTCCAGACTTCTGGGGGTCGACGTTGTGAAAAAATGACGACGTCGGGGGGTCTGGGTTCCTGCAATATGTGTGCGGAGGCCTCCGGCGAAGCGGCTGCCGGACGGGGCGGTCCAGGGCTCCCGACCCCCCCCCCAGCTGGGACGCGTGTGTGCGCCGCTCTCGCAGTCGGACCTGGGCCAGAGGAGCATCCCTCAAGAGCGCGGGGCCCTCCGCCGGCCAGAACGCACAGAGCATCCAAGGGGACCCTCCCCAGGGTGCACAAGAACAGCCAGCAAGCATGAAGAGCATTATAGGGCACCCTCCCCGAACCGCCTTCGATCTTATACCTCGGTCCGACTGCACATCGGAGACAGGTTGGCTCACCCGATCGTGATTCACCCGTTCCGATGCACCCGACTCCTGGTCTGGGTAAGTCGCAACCGGGTGAGTTAAGCCAGGTGGGTAAGCACCGGGTGAGTTAAGCCGGGTGAGTGAAGCACCGGGTGAGTTAGGCACCAAGTGAGTTAGGACCAGGTGAGTTAAGCATTGGGTGAGATTGGGACGGATTAGTTAAGCATGGGGTGCGTTAGGCACTGGATGAATTAAGCACAGGGTGAGTCAGGCACCGGGTGAGTTAAGCACAGGGTGAGTTAGGCATCGGTCGAGTCCGGCATTGGGTGAGCTAGACATGGGGTGATTTGGGCATTTGGTGAGTTAGGCACGCGCCGGGTGAGTTAAGCATCGGGTCAAAAAGGCACCAGGTGATTGGGTGGGTTAGGCACCAGGTCAGTTAGGCACCGAGCATAAATCTAGGGCGCTTGCAGGCGTGTGTGCCGCCTGGCGCAAGGGGCTTACGACGTGCATGCTCCGCCCCTCGGGGCCACGTTGCCTGAATGCAAAAAGATGGTGTTAACTAAAGGGCCCTGGGCGTTTACTGAACAGCCCTGCCCCTGTTGGATCCCTTCCTTGGGTGCGGTCACTGCATGGCTTCGCTTGTCGGGATGCTTCTTATGAGGGTGGTCTCTCTGCCCGCCAGACCACGAGGACAGAGCTCGAAGAAGAAAGCACGGCAGCACTAGCGTTTGAAAGTCCGAGCGGGCTTCTGGGGTCGGCGATGACGACCCCCTGGCGGCGCCCCCGGCACCGCTCCTGGCGCGTTCCTCGCGCTAGGGAGGAGGGGACCGGCGCCGACCTAAGAGATCCGCGCGGGCCTCCGAGAGATTCAGCTTATGTAGTTCTTTTTTTTGGGGGGGGCAGATGAAGTTTCTCGCAGTTGGCCTGCGGGTGAGATTCGAAGGAGAAGGAACGAAACTGTTGGTGCCCCACGTGGAGCGCCGAAAGTTTACCTTTATGACGTTTCTTTTCTTATCCAAGCCAGCTGTCGGACGAGCGGCATGCACTCGTCCAGCGCAAGCGCAACGGCTCTCTCCCGTGCAGTCCCGCCCCCTTCCCTCCTCCTCCTCCTCCTCCCCCTCCTCCTCCTCCTCCCCCTCCTCCTCCTCCTCCTCCTCCTCCTCCTCCTCCTCCTCCTCCTCCTCCTCCTCCCCTGGCCTTGTCCTTGTCCCGGCCCCGGCGCCGAGGACCCGGGGTGCAAGGTGTCGGGGAAGAGGCTGCAGCAGTTCCTCCAGGCAGAGGTCACGCACTTCGCGGCCATGAAGCGCAGCAAGCTGACGCTGGAGGACCTGCTGAGGGCGGCCACTTCCCCGCACAGGTGCGCGATGAAGGTCCACGAGGAGATCCCGAAGCACTTCGCTGCGCGCCTGCGGCAGATCGAGTCTCTGGACGGCTGGCGGGAGGACCCAGACTTGTCCGCCATGTGGGACATCTACTTCCAGTCGTTCGAAGAGATCCGGATGGCCGACGTCGAGGAGGACCTGGAGCCCTTCACCGCCGTGGTGAGGAAGCTCAAGGAGCGTCAGAGGAAAGCGCTGCCGCTCCTCGGCAAGGCGGTGCACCGCAGATCTCGCATGCAGACTGCTTTCAGCGCCAGCACGAACGAGTGGATGGAGAGATTCCTGACCTCGCGGATCGGGACGGAGATGCTGACGTCACAGTACATAGCGATCATAAACCAGGTGGGCGAAGCAAAAGAACGCGGTCGTCTTCGCCGACATTGGCGAGTGAGCTGTCCGAGTAAGGTCGTGCGTAAGCGCCCTAGTTTTCAGCGCAGCGTGCGTCGCTGGCGGCCCGGGTAAGCCGCGGCGCAAGGTCGCTGTGCCATCTCGCGTAAGACCCGTTTCTTTTCGTCGCTCAGGTGTCGCAGGGGAAGGACCAGCTTACCGGGATCGTGGACCCGCACGTGAGCCCGGAGCAGGTCTGCAAGGCCGCGGCGGAGGCCGCCAAGCAGCTCTGCTTGTCGCACATGGGGATGGCGCCCGACATCGAGATCGATGTCCGCGTGAAGCGCTCGCGTGCTGGGGAGATTTCGTTCTCCTACATCTGGAGGTTGGAACATTGCATAGACATTAACTTCCAGAGTTCCGCGCGGATGTTTTGGATCGGCGCGGGGCCCCCCTAGCGGCGCCTCCGGCGCGCCGCACCTGGCGCGCTCCGCGCGCCGGGGAGAGGGGTCCAGCGCAGGAGTTGATGTTTATGCCGATCTTTCTTCCTCCCACATCCCGATCTACCTGCGGTACATACTGCTCGAGGTGCTCAAGAACAGCTGCCAGGCGACGGTGAGGACCCTCTTCACGTCCCTTTGCGCAGAAGAAGAGCCGAGGCCGGTGAAGATCGTCATCTGTTCGGACGACAACCGCGTCGCGATTCGCATCAGCGACCGAGCAGGCGTCTGTTTAATGTTAAATGCGCTGGGGGCGAGTTCTTCCCGTTTTCAGCTGTTAGGTTTTCGGCCAACCCAACAACAAATTGCAAACCAAAACAAAAAAGGATGTGCAAAACGGAACCGAACCAAAAAACGGCGCGAACGAGAGTCCCAAAACGTAAGAGCACGGACCCCAAATCTGAAAAACGCTTATATTTCATTGTTTTGGCACTATATATATGTGTACATATATATATATATATATAACCACAAGAAAGCCCCCAGTCGTTCTTGCATCATCGATCAAAGTGCAGGTGGCATCCCCTTCGACGTCGGGGAGCAGGTGTGGGACTTCGGCTTCACCGGCACATCTGCGAACAACGCCGCGGACCCTTCGGCGGCAACCGCGCTCGGCGGTTTCGGCATAGGCTTGCCGCTGGCGAGGCTGTACGCGAACTACCTGGGGGGAAGCCTCTCGCTGGTCTCGCTGCCGGAGCCCAGCGGCCCGAGAGTCGATCGCTCTATCTACGCAGCACCCCGTAACTGCAGATAAGATGGGTGCGGGCGAAGGGTGGGTCGCAGGTGGGTTGCGGGCGAGAACGACGACAACGCAACAACAACAATAAGCTTAGAATGTTCGCACCCATCTGCTTGCGTGCCATTCAACGCGTATATCCCGAACCCTTGGTACCCGCCCTCTTCGTCTTCGATCGTGCCCCCCCCGTGGGGGTATATCATCCTTACCTCCCACGTGTAGTCGACGCAGCCCCTGAGACAGGAGAAGCGAGGACGAATGGAAGGGGGAAGGAGAAGGATGGAACACGAGAGAGATTAGCAGGAGGGAGGTCAGGAGGAGAAAACACGTGGCAAAACCTGACGCGCAGTTCGGGCGGGTAGACCCTGACGGGCAGGTCGGGAAGGCGGGCCCAGGCGGCCAGGTCGAGAAGGCGGGTTGCTGAAGGGTGAGTCCTGCATGAATCGCGGGGATGTTTCACGCGATAGCTCGACTCCTAAGAAATCCCTGGAAAGGCCAAAGCGAAAGCGTGATTCCTGAGTGTCGAGGGCGCGGCGTTTAAATAAATCGTAAGGACGTACCACGCGAGAGCGCGATTCCTGTAGACGAGGTGAACAAGTCCCGCGCGAGCGCAATGTGAATATGATCTGTGAGGAAGTATCAGGCGGTAGCGGTTGGCGTTGCAGTGCGGGAGCCAACAACCGAACTTGAGGCGCAAGAGTTCCCCTTGTAAAACACAGGGTGCGAGATCCGGGGGGGAGCACCTCAATTAAACAAACACGATGGGCACCCGGCAGGGGGATTAACAACAACAGTTCGGTAGAAACAAGAAATCAACGTTCACTTGAAGACTGTTCGCTCTGATATGTTCGCGTGTCACTAAACGCGTATATCCCAAACCCTCGATACCGACCGTCTTCATATTCGTCTTCGATCGTACCCCCCTTGGGGGCATCTCTTCCTTACCCGCCACGCGTAGTTGGCGCAGCCCCCAAAACAACGGAAGAGAGGAAGAAGGGACAAGGGGGAGTGAAAAGGATGCAGCACGAGAGTGATTAGCAGGAGGGGAGTGTTGGAACAGGAAATAAGACGGCAGAACCAGGCGGGTCGGGTGGGTGGACCACCTGTGAGGCGGGTCGGGCGGGCGGGCTTAGACGGCCAGGTCGAACGGGCTGGCTGCTGAAACATGAATACTGCATGGACCGCGAGGAAGTTTCCAGCGATAGCGTGATTCGCAAGTAAGTTCTGAGGAAGCCCAAAGCGAGAGCATGATTCTTGAGTGTGCGGGCGCGGCGCTTCAATCAACTGCGAGGGAACCCCGCGCGAGCGCCAGATGCCTGGGTAAAATGCTCGGAAGTCCCGCGCGACAGCGCGATGTTGAAAGAGTTGTGAGGGAGCACCAGGCGGGAACCGTTGTTGTTGTTGTAGCTCAGGCGCCAGCAACCTAATCCGAGCTCCAAGATGTTCCCAGGGTGCGAGTTCTGGGAGGGGCACCTGATTTGAAAAGAGCAGTGGCACCGCGCAGGAGGGATCAACAACCATTGTTCATGAGACATGTGAGACATCAGCGAGAATGAGCTTAAGACTGTTCGCTCTTACCTGCTCGCGCGGCGCTCAAGATGCACATCCCACACCCATCGTTACCCTCCCTCCTCGTGTTCGACCGTGCGTGTGCCCCGGGAGACGTGTTGGTTCGACCTCCCTGGGCGGGAGAAACGGGTGTGGAACTATCGCCCCCCCTTTTTTTTCATTTGCCTCCCCCAGGAGGGGGTGGCATCGTGATAGGTGCATGTGGCATGCAGAAGCATGGCACATGAGGGTAAGATGACGGTTGCTGATGTTGCAAGCCGAGGGCCAGCGACACAATAGGAAGCGCAAGACCTTTCCTTATAAAATGGCGGGTGCGAGCCCGGGAAGAGCACATGAGTCGAAAAAAACTCAAGGAGCACCGGAGGGGGCACATCAACAAGATTTGTTTCATAAGAACTAATATTCAACACTCGGTTTAATACTGTATGTTCTTATTTGCCCGCGTGCCGTTCAACACGTATACCCCACGCCCTCGATACCCGACATTTTCGTCGTCGATTGTACTTCTTGTGGGGGTATATCATCTTTACCTGCCACTTGTACTTGATGCATCCCCTAGGGCAAGAGAAGATAATGATAATTGGAGGAAGGGACATGTGGCAGGGAGAAGGATGGCGCACGACAGATAAACAGGAAAGGTGTGAGGAGCAGAAATCTAGCGGCAGAACCAGACGGGCTGGTCGGGCGAGCAGACCCTAACGGGCGGGTCGGGCGGACGGGCCCAGGCGGCCGGGTCGAGCGGGCGGGTCGCGGAAGCGTCAATCTTGCATGACTTGCGAGGAAGTCTCGAGCAATCGCGCACGAACGCGATTCCCAAGTATATCGTGGGGAGAATTCTAGACGCTTCGCGTATCCCCACCAGCCCTGGAAGAGAGCTTCGACTGGGACACCCTGGGCAAGCTAATCTCGGGAGGGTTCCACGATATCCTCTCGACGCCTGCCTTTCATGTGCTCATCTACCTTATGTCCGGGCTGCATCCTCACGAGTTCACGTTGGCCAACACACCGCGGCAGCCGGGCATGCTCGACCGCAAGGTTTGGTCGCACCTGGGGTTCTTGTTCGACATGTCTCTCGGGCTCGACGCGACCAATCTGGTCTACAACACGCTGTGGGCCGCTATGGTCTGGTCGCTCGGCCTAGGCACCCCCTGGAGGGACGCGAGCTACGCCGTCCCCGACGACTCCCTTCCCCCGCTGCCTCAAGCCAACGGGAGCCGTGTAACACTGTGGAAGCGCCGCCAGTGTACCCCCAAAGGGCTCTTCCGCCAGGTCCCCAAGGCTTGGAGCTCCGCGACCAAGGAGTGCTGCAGACACAGGAAGCACCCTGGAATGACCGGGCTGGGAGACATCATCCGGGGATGCGGCTCCTCGATGGAAGAGTTCCGTCAGGGACTTAGACACCGACGGCCAGCCCATGGATTCCTGCAAGGCCCGTTCGCTTCTGGTGGTCATGATGCTCATGCTCCGTGAACCGCGAGTGTTTCTATGGCCTTTCTCCCATGCAGAGCAGGCCGTGGACGTCATCGAAGCCATTCCGGGGTTCTGCGTACCCTGGCAAGAGGTCCACCAGGATTTCCGAAGCCGGTTCGCCAGCACCTGGAGCCCCACCCTGGAAGACCTGGCTGACCTGCACGGTCGCATCGAGGCAGTGCTACCACACATCTCCAAGCTCGTGGCATTGGCCCATCACCACCCGGCTGCGCAGGAAGCCGGCTGCCCGCAGACCTGGAGCGAGATGGACAGACGAGACTTCCAGCTACAAGCGCCGATGATCGTTCTCGAACGGATCGTCCCGGCAGCAACTCTGACCTGCCTTGACACGGGCGGCTGCTCAGTGTGTGCACTACACATCGCGCTGGCGGGATCCGACGCCTCCCTCGGTCCAGACGACAGGGTTGCGGGCCTTTTCCTACATCGGCGGCGGACTTGCCTTGTCCCAGACCGACCTCAACGCCCCTCCACCACCGGCTCCGGCCCCGGGCACCAGACTGGACCCTCCGTTCATCCCCGACGAAAGGCTCGTGCTCGAGAAGAAAACAACAGATACACGTGCGACAGTTGCGGGAAGGACCACCTGACTGCCGCCGAAGGTACCTGGATCTCCGACAGCACACGCCAGATGGTCGCTCAGAATAGACCTCAGGCATACATCCACGGTGCCAACATGGGTTGGAATTGCGCTGGCTGCTGGATTCGACACCTCGAGGACAATGGCTTCCCTACGCCTGCCGGAACGAAGCTCACCGACAGAATCAGGGAACATTAGCAGCAGATATCGGGGACCGGCAACGACAGAGCGAGCGCCCTCCCTTCCCTGGGACTCCTCCCGCTTGGCTACGGCTGCAGCCCCCTGGCGGACACGAGGCAGTTAGCTGACCTCCTCATGGAACCGACGGGCATGAAGATCCCCGAGCGTGCCAATACCACCATTCCGGTCCTCCGGATCCGGGACGACCGCTTCGGCATCAAAGCTGCTCAGACGCGGACCTACTCCGCGCGGTGCGACACCTGCCCACAGGGGGCCCCGCTCCTGGTCTGGGACCCCAGCTCTCCGCCTCTGGGGTGCTTCATATGGAAGCCGGCTGCAGACATAGGAGTTCCCGAGCAACATGGGCTGCCCCCCATCGATAAGCGCGCCCTGGCCTGGTGGGGG